ACCTTTTTGTAAGGGGTGCACTGCCACGCCCAAGGGGTGCACGTGTACCCCCTACATGTCACCCCTGAGTGTCCCCATGCATCTTCGCACTGAAAAAAAGGTGGTGGGGCATTTTGAAATAAAACATGTTTGATGAGCTTTAGTTCAAAGTGGCCCACTGCCCTTTTTTCAGCACAGGGATGCACAACGCCACTCATACATGTGATGCGTGAGTGTTTTTAATTAGCGCAGCTCGCTAATTAAAGTGCCCGGTGCCATGTTCCACAGCATGCATAAAAATGCCCCTGGAGACTATTTCAGCACAATTAAGATATAAAAATTACTAAGGCTTTCTATGCTGTCCTTCATTGTAATCTCTAAACACATCCCACAGCTGCACAGTAAAATACCTATCATCCCCCTCAGAGTCCTTGGCTCTTCCCTCTCTAAATAATTAGGCTATATCAAGAAAATCCAGGAATAAAACTGTTTTTGTTCTACAGTCTGCTCAGTTTCTACCTGATGTTGATCATACCTGCTAAGGCAGAAGCCTCGCTAGCAAAAGCCACAGCAAATTCTTTCATGATATTTGCATGGCTATCACTGACAAAAAACCCAAGGTAGCTGGTAGATGAATGTAGTGATAGGGAAGGGACTGGTGGAAAGGTATTTAAAAACCTATCACCAACTTTCTTCAGGGCTTCATATAAGAATTCCACTTTCTGATCTTCACACTAAAAAAGAAAACATATTGACATATGCATTACAAATCATTAATATCATCCACCACCACTGGTTTGGCTTCTCTGAGAGTCATTGCAACAGTGCAAGAGAGGCCGAGCAATGCAATATTTTGCTATTATAATAGAATACTTCCAGTACAGAGTATAATATAGAGATATTATGGAATATCCCCTTTACTTGTAAACTACCTGATAATATCCAATTCAGGCAGGAAGTAACCAAAAGATCTAACCATCTGGCAATTATGCATGGACGTTATAAAAAAATCAGACAGTACAGTCCCTTTTCTAGCAGGCATATGTTCAAACAACAAAATCACCATCATAATTAAGTACTAATCGACACTTGCTGGCATCATAGCAGGATGGATGAGTACTGTTCATGTGTTCATGCTGCGTAAATTACATTCTAATTGCTGAAATGTTTCCATCATAAACACCTGAAGAGCATTGCATGAAAACTTGCAGATGCCACTGCTTATTCATCCTTTCTTTGCTTAATCCAGACTGATCATGGCATATTTCAAGAGCAGTAAATTCATTACAAATTAATAAATAAAATACAGATTGTATATAGATGTCATTAATGGTCAGACACTACCACAGCTGTACACTTTTTGTTCCTCTCTTTTTTATAGCTTTAGCAGCATCCTATAGCATGAAAGTAAGATGAATATAGTATTTGCCCAGCTGCTACATTAGTATATTCTCCATTTTTCTTCAACACATCTCAGGTAAACTGGTGCTAATTTGCAACTTTGTCAACACTGAAAGGTACACTTCAAGGTCTCCAAAGCTTCTTCAGATAAACATAACTTTTAACAGAAACTTTAAAGTTCCTCCTTTAAAATCTACACATTCATTCCTGACAGGGGAGATAGCACTCATTCTATAGAGAATACACAAGGGATCAGGAAGGCCAATTAGCCTGTTACCACCTTCAGATTTAGAAAATAATCCAACATACACACTTTCGAAAAAACTGCCCTAAGTGATTTAGGAGCCTAAGCTGCATTAAAAAACAATTACTTGGGCATCTTAGCACTTTACTCCCACTGGTTTGAAATAAGACTTTGGCTCTGAAGTGCATAAGGGCCAGCTTTTTATCAGTATTTAGATGCCTGAAGGTATAGACATTGGCGCCTAGGAATTTACAAACATACCTAAGTGTGCTGCTTAGGCACATTTGTATGGCCTACTAGGCATTAATCTGCACCTTTAAGCGTCTTACATTATAAATCTGGTTTGGGGTTACTTCTGGACAAAGGTGTGCAACACAGAGCTGCGGGCCATATCCAACCTATGGAGCCATGTCTTCTGGCCTGTGGGGCCCCAGAGGGTTTGGGATCCAGGGGCAGGGCAGGAGGTCCAGCCAAAGTCCAGGACACAGAGCCCACTGGGGATGTGTGTCAGTGGTGAGGGGCAAGTGACAGCTGCCTTAACCCCTGTGGCTGCCACTTTTTGCTCCATTGCTGCCACTCACCCCACCACTGCCACCTCATCCAGATACAGCCCGTGAGGAGCTCTGCAGTCTGGATCTGGCCCACTGGGGTGGAGTGACTTTGATACCCCTGCTTTATACTTTCCAGTCATTTGGGCCCAGATCAACACACACATAAGACACAATTCTTAATGCACAGTGGTGCTTGCTCTCTTTCCACAGCTGCAGAACGACATATGCCTGAGGGTCTAGATACACCAAAGGATACCTCAACTGGAGTTTAGCACTATAAATCTGGACTTGAGCCACTTCTGAAAATGTTTCCCCTTGGCAATACCAAGCTGCACAATGTGCTCTTTATGATGGATGCTGAAATAAAGCTTGAACTAGCAAGAAAAAAAGGAAACAACCTTTTTTTAATAGATATTTTTAGGACATGGAACTTCCTCAGGACTGACATTTCAAAACTGAGAACAACAGGTTCCAGTCATCATCCAAAATAAGTGAGAAATGCATTCATACAGAGGAGGCTGCCATGCAAGATACATGTTTGAGAGTTTGCTCTTCTGTGCAAACTGCACACCTTATTTTCACAGTCATTCGGCAAATCTGGTAACTCCATATCTAGAAGGCCACAAGAGGTAATATAGCATCTTGCTCAAGCATCTATTTTAAAGCTACAGTCATGCTAGCTACACACAAGAATTAGGTGTGCAGTTGCATACACTTATTCATATATGGAATTTCAAATAAGAGACCCTGAGCATCTGAGTCCAGCCACTGCACTCCCACAAGACTTGATAATCTCCCTTTCCTACTCTCCCTGCTTCTAGTAGCTAACACTTCGTTGGCCTCAACACTGTGGTGTATTCAGCATTCAAATATTTTTCACTGAGATTTGTAAATTCAGAGAGCAATAAATGCAGTTAGTTCAGCCAGTGTTCCAGCATACACTAGGATGGGAGACTTCCAAAAGATAACATTTAATTGTGCACACACAACTTTGTACATTGGATCACTCCTTGTGAGTATTAATTTTGCATTTGTGTATGCAAGTGATGCACAGGTAGAGCCCATGTGCATACACAAAACAATCACAAGTGGATTTTGCTAACATCACTTTTACTAGTAAGTTTTATGCAAAGCAGCTGCACGTACAAATGAAAACCCTTGCTCAACCAAATCCAGATTTCACCCTTCTAGTTGTATTTTACACAACAAAGCTGTTGTGCTCAAGACATTTTTTTAAGGTTTTCTTACCGTAAAGAAATCACAAAGAGTTATGTGTGGAAAAATCTCATGAGCTCTGTTTTTTGCACATTGGCGTTTGCTCTCTCTCCAAAACTCCTGCAATTTGTCATGAAGGGGGCCAGAGGGGCACAAGTAAAGAGCATATTCCTGAGGGATTGGATCGTCCAGAGAAGGATCATTACAATGGGAATGCAACCTAAAATTGAGACCATATTATACATAGTAAATAAAGCCACAGATGTACAAACAGTTTTCATTCACTTTGGCAGAGACAGGTGCAAGAAAGGCAGAAAAATAAAAACTGAAATGGTTGTTACTTGAACAGAAGCTTAGAATGAATTAAGAATAGGTTAAGACTAGAGCTGGTAAACATTTCTTGCTTTTTCTTTCAAATGGATGATTTGTTTCTTTCCAGGGTGGATCCAAGGGGGCATGCAGTGGTGCACTTATACCTCTCTTTCCATTCCTGCTCCTCCCAAAGTTTAAAATCAGCTGCTTGGCAATGGCAACAATATTTCTAGTCAGGCATGAGAGAATCAACTGACTTCATGGTTTATCCTAATCTATCTGATCCCTTCTAAATTCTTCATTCCACAACCCTCTCTTCTGTTTAATGCTTTTGATGTTCAACCCATCAAGCTATCCTTTGTTCTGCAATTCTGCAGTCTGTTAGCAGCTCCTGGTAATGAAGCTCCTATTTCACAGCTCTGCAGATTGTTCTTAACTCATTCCAATGAAATTATATTTGTTTTTGCTTCAATCTTAAACTGAATAATGTAGCCCTAGGTCTGTAGCACACTAGTAAAGCTTCCAGTTTATTTTTAATTGTTTAATTGCACCCCTATTTTCAAAATGCCAGATCCGCCCATGCTTCTTTCAAAATTTGGAAATCAAATCAACAAAAACGAAGGGGTTTTGTTTTATTTCCAAATAAATTGTTTGGGTGGATTTTGTTTGCTTTCTACTTTTTTGAAAAAGGGGCAGAGGGAAAGAATGAAAGAAAGAAAGAAAAATAGTGGAAAGAATCACCAACCAAAATCTGAAAACAAAGTGGAGGGAGTATTGTTAAAAAGGACAACAAAAAATCCCATAAAAACAACTGGCAGTTTTATACAACAGCAAGCTAAAAGATCCCAACACAACAGAAACAGCAAATGTATCAACTGGGATTTATAAGTCATGTTCCAGTTGGTTTTAGCAGGCATTTTGGTCTGTGAATTGATCTGTTGTCTCCTTCAGATCTTTCTGAATCACAGGGCAATATAATTTCTGACAAAGCTTGTTTTGTCGTGCAGCTGTCGGACTGGGGCGAAGTAAAGTAATACTCAACCATCATTTGAAATGTTGGAAGTGAACACAGTGGCACACATTTGTATGCTTTACTCATACATGCACCCTATTCCAAAACTCTCCAACCATCTCCTGGAGCATAAGATCTGATAAGAGCCACTGCTTGTGCCGTCTCAGCTTCGTTTGCTCAGTGGAGAAAAAGCTTCGATGACCCACAAGTAACAACCGGCATTACCTATGGTCATGCCTGCCCCAGTTCTCATTTTGTACTGCAGACTCTTGACAGTTCCACTTGACTTTTATGGCCGTGTCTCATCTGGGCCTGTTTTCCTTCCAGTAAATTCCTTTTAACCCCAAATCTTCAGAATTCCTTTACAATGGCAATCTTTTGGATCTTCAACACCCTTTTTCTGTCATTTTCTGTCCTTTCCTCATGGACAGACGATTAACAATTTCCTCTAAAATCTGCAGTCATCATTCAGTTCTGTGATAGCAAAGCTTGCTTGTGTCTGGGAAAGTGGGTTTGCTATACTCAAGTTATCTCACGGTTTGGAAACAAAGGACCCATTTCTCAGAAGTAAAAACTGATCTTGCTTTACACTGCATGGTGTACAAATATCCTTATGCCCAGGAGGAACCTGATCAAACAAAGCTAATATCCTTTTTCCATAAAGTAGAATACAGATGAGCTGAGGTTTAGTTTAGTTTTACCATGATGTCTACTAAATCCAGTGTGGGAAACAAGTCATAGGCAACTACATTTGAGAAAGTTCTCTTTAAATAACAACACTTACCATTTTGTAGCATCTTCTACTGTCTTTTGTCCAGTAGCAGCCAAAGCTTTTTGCCTAGGAAAAAAAAAGTGGAGATTTGCCATGAGAAAAGAATAGCTGCAAGTCAAATAAACATCCTTTGTATTCTGGAAGCTCTTCCTTGATACAAAGGCTTAGTGTACAGGTTTACTTAGGAATGTGTTGTCAAAATGCATACACACTGTATAAATATGTTTGCTCCACACATAAGGCAAGTGCATTATTAGAGAAAGGCCCAAATATAAACCTCAGGACCAAACCCCTATTTCTACAGAGGGCCAAATCAAAACCTTAGATCGAAATGTGCTTACCTGTGGGATTTAGAAATCCAGATCCCAAATTTCCCAGTGGGACTTAGTGTTTGATTTCAACCTATTAAAGAGTTAGATTTGCGCCATAGGTTCAGCAGCAAACCCAGATCCAGATCAGAAGTTGCATTCTGAATTCTTTCTAACATATAACTACTCCTCCCTGGTACCGACTCAATTTGTAACAGAGCTGCTCTAAACAGCCCAGCATGGTCCTACATACGCAGGAACTTTTGAGACCAAGAGCTGAGTTTTCATGACCAGTTTGGAAGTGGAATTTGTGTATTTGAGCTCCTAGAAGTGACCTGCAGATTCCTTGGAAAGACGGAGGAAGCAGACATTGACTCCTGTTTCTTTTGCAGCATCTAAGTTTTCATGAAGTCAATATTTTTTGTATCATTTAATTCTATTTCATTCCAATTATTATACTTGCAGCAAGGGTCTGGTATCTGAGCACCTTCCAGCAGTGCCTTAAAACAATATAACTAGTATTTGCCTGATTTTTCCCTGCTTTCTATCTTCTCTTCTACAAGCGGGAAATTATATATGAGTTTGTAAAAAATGAAAAATAAAACAATTAAATGTTTCCAGTGCATGAGAGATTGGGCCTCTTTATTCATGAGTGCTCAATATGGCTACAACATAACCTTCTTTCCCTCCAAGCTTCTCCCACTTCTCCCATCACTGTGGACATTGATCCCATCTTTCCTGCAACTCAGGACTCCAACCTGTGCACCATCTTCAACTCAGCCCCATCTCATAAGCCTTACATTCAGCATGTGTCTAAATCCTGCTCATTTTTTTTCTTACTAACATCTCCATCTTACTAACACCTCATATTCAAGCTCTCCTTATCTCCTGCCTTCCATATGGCCACAGTCTTTTCTCTGGACTGAACAAATGTAATCCTGCCTCATTCAAATCATTCAAAATCCTGCTGCAGGCAGCAGTTTCCAAGATCATTTTGACAATGTCTACCCTGCAGTTGCTTAAATACTAGTGTACCAGCAGACTTTGGCAACCCACACTGAGCTCCGTGCTGTTCTGGGTAGACTGCTACCAATATACGGTACCTAAACTAGCTAGTTTAAAGCTAGGTTGAGTATCTCTACACTACACTAATGTCACTTCTGTAAGTGCAGTGCAGATATACCCTCTCTTTCTATTCTTCCACTGGTTCTCCTTTCACCATGACATCAAGCAGAAGCTACTCTATTCACTTTCTAGGACTTCATGGCCTAACTTCACAGTATCTTATCTTTTTCCACCAGTCACCACTGACTTGATTTCTCCCTATACTGATGGTCCTAGCCGTTAGCCCCCATGTGTTAATGTTACAACAAGCACATTAGTGCTTCATGCCATTCTACCCCTCAGCTTTAGGGTAAAGCACATGCATTATCTTTCGCCCCTCTTCTGTTTGTTTTTTAAACTTTATCCTAAATTAAGAAGGAATTTAAAAAAATTATAGAATAGGCTTACAGAGGTATTATTAAATAAGAGGGCTTAGTCTTTTGAAAAGTACAGTCTCTAGTTTTTACATGGTAAGAAGTCTTTGCCAGGTCCTCAAACTCAAGATAGGAAAAAAAGTACCTTCAACTTTAACTGCATTACAAAAAGTGATGAACACAAGAAGTTACTTTGAAGTGACTCTATGAGAGAGCACAATGTATGTAAAATGTTTAACAAGTCTTAAAATCTCTCCACCCAAAAAGTGAATAGTTTAGGGATACTGTATTAGACGTACAAAATTGGATTCTCTTGAGGATAAGATCAATACCTTTATACTGTTGCAGAAGCCCAAAGAAACAAACCTAGTCCATAAACACCTATTGGCAAGCGTGCCTTTTCTCTCTATGAAAAACACAAGCTATCCATGTTCAAATTTGCACAAGAACCTGCTTTTAATATAATCAAGGTAGCTTAAACATATAACTCACACGGTATGTACAGGGAATCCCATAGATAAGAGATGTTCCACGATAGAGCAGGTGCCTCTATTTTTTACTTTGTTTGCAACCTTTGCATACAGCTGTGCTTCAGCCACCGCCATCTCTTCTACTCTTCCTGTGAATATACGTGCAGTGTAGTCAGAATTTAGGAGGGGGTAGGACAGAGAGAGAAAGAGAGAGAGGGAGAAAGAGAAAGAGAAAAAGGAGTTGGAGGTAGCTACGATGAGAAACCTCAAAACCCTTGTGATCTTTCTGGCAAAAGCTGATATCCTGTTTTGTAGCATGTTACTCTTTAGATTTTTATTTTAGGTGGTTGTTAAAAAGCAAGACGTATATTCTGCTGCACACTGTAGCAGAACATAACTAACAGCACACATACAGACCACAGCATAGCATGCAGTCATTACAGGTTTGCTAGTAGCATAGGCCTCAACATCCCTCCTTCAGAACTTCACTTTAAATCCACTCCAGATGGTCAATGAATTTGTGAGTGTGATTGCTAACAAGGGATGGTTATTTAGTGTGTTGCACAAAATCAGCTGGTTCTCTGAGTCTGGATTTTTGTGGACAGATTCCCTCATCTGCAAAATTGTGCGTGGCCACCCAAATTCTGCATCTGCAAAATTACTATCACAGCCAGCACCCTTGTGAGGCATCCTTAGCAAAACCACCAGGAACAGAATTACTGTGCAGGATGAAATGTATATTCTCTGCCAGAAGTGGCCTCTGGAGACCAGTTTTGAAGCACACAGAGGTAGCTTGAGGAGATTTCTCATTCCACCATCTCTGCTATTCTCATTGTGATATGATTAAATAATGTCATTAGAATGACATACTAGATCATTCAGAGTGCCAGATTCTCTAGTATATCTAGCATGCAGTGAACTTAACATGGCTAGAGGTCTGCCTTGAACTTCCTATGTTAGAGGGAAATCTTCACTGTGGCCTGTACTGTTACATTCTTGCTGTAAGGGGAGGCATGATTGAACACTATGAGGATGTGGGAGGGAAATGGGCTTGTTAATGGACAGAAAGGGACATGGCTGAGCAGATATACCTGAGCCTATTGATGTCTAAGGGGCCTTATGTCTATGACATAAATTCCCTCCCTACTGGGGAAGCTTTAACTTAAATAAGTTTGTGGAGGCAGCGAATCAGAGAGCTGTGACCAGCTTTCTAACCACTTCTTCTCAGACATAGTGGGGAATCAAGCCCAGGTCTCCCAAAACCAAACAAGCTGCCACTGAGGACCATAACCCCTCCCAGTGCCATGGGGGAAAACATGAGGAAAAGACTGGAGTATTAGACACCACTGTTGGGAAACAAACGGCTTCAGACAAAATAGTCACTTCTTTCATCCCTGGCTCAAGCTGGGGCCAAAGTGAACATGTTTGGCCATCCAAAATAAATTTGTTTTTATTTCTTTATTCATCTTTTTTCCACTGACTCTATATATCCTGATTTCAGTGAGGTTCAAAGCAAAAGTGCCAAAAACATGGTAGGAAAGGGTATTCTTGTCACAACCATGATGTGACAAGGAGCAAGAAATAACAGAAATACGATCCAACATCCTGCTCTTGTGGTATTTTAATTTGTTTTGCACAGTCAAGAGGTTCAAAGAAGACTCCTTTGAAACACTGGAAATTCTCTCATTGCTGGTAAATTCCACTACTCGCCTCTCCAAGCTTAGCATTTTCTCTGTAATAGCTCTTCTTTCTGTCTCAGTTTCTTTTAAACTTTTTTTAAAATCACTTGCACATACCAGCATGGATCTTTTGCTTCCTTCATCCCTTTCTGCCTCCTGAAAAAGATCTAAACGAGATCACGGCTATAGTCTTGTCCTGAACACACACTCTTATTCCAGCTGCTCCTCAAGCTCCTTAATGTAAAGTAGGTAATACTGTATTGCCTCACTGATGGATATGCATGATTTTTAGAATTACGACGGTGGAAGTCCTCCCCTAGTTAAAGTGTGGGTCTCTCTTGTGGGTGTATCCTTGCCATATAACTGGTGGCTACAGTAAGCACAACCCAATTTCTAAAGAGCAGTGTAACCAGGCAAAAAGCCTAATTTTTAAAACTAATTAGCTTTATGGGGCCTGCCCTGTAGCATGTTCACCTGAGCCCACAAATGCTGGCAGATATTTTTTTCCAGCTTCTCTACCTATAAAAAAAGGAACAAGCAAGCACACCTGTGACTTTACCTTTGCAGAGGTTCCTCAGTGAGGGCATCATGAGTTTGCAAATACCACAATATTACTTTACCCTATTATACTAATTAAAAGGGTTGCTGACTTTTTTACCTTTCCGCTCTCCGTAGCCATGCCATCATCGTAGGCTATCCGATACCTGTGAGCAGGTTGAATTACACGGTGTACAGTAATAATGTCATTTGCTACAAACGATTGAGCTGGCAGTTCTGGATGGCTCAATAAAAATATTTCCAGAGCAGACTGCCTTAGCAACAGCTGGATTTCCATTTGGTTTACTTTTACAATGAAAAGAGAAAATATTTTTGCTTTTAACCATGACTTCTCAGGAAGAGGTGAGTAAAATCACAACAGAAGGCAAAGCCCTTGAAATAATTTTCTAATATTTCTCCATGGTAGATCGTAGATCCAAAGGCTGATTTATTTCCAGAGCAACATCATATGTACCATTTATTGTTTTCTGTGTATTTGGAAACTATTTGTAGTACAATACTCTCTTTTCTTATTTCTGCCCTAAAAGCAGCAAGTTTATATAAAACTATTAAAAAAAAAAGACCCCCCCAACTCTGGAAATAATTAGTTACCATGAATGTGATAAAATGAAGGAATGAAAACTGTGCCATTTTTATAAATATTTGCTAAAAGGTGAAAATAAAAATATGTTGCCTAAAACTGTTGTCAGGGATGAACTATTAATTTGAGCCCAACCACACAAATATCATTGGTGGTTTTATAATGTGCTAGTTCCATTGTCTGCAAAGAACTGACTCCCAAGTTACAGTAGCATGAGTTAATGGAAAACTAGATCCTACTGCATAACTCACTGTGTTCAAAACCAGAAGCAGAAAATATGTATCATATACCCACATGCTAATTTTAAATGTGAATATTATTTGTTCAGAATAATGTCTTAACAATTTGGATTCCAGTTGGTAGTATGCACAGAACAGGCAGAGATGCTTCTGAATAAAGTTTAATGGTGCAGATCGGAGCAGGCTCAGCAGTTTCTCATATAACATACTTTCTCTTATGTGCACTAACAATTAAAAAGCATCTCGTGGAAAATTCTTTGACATTTAAAGGAGAACATCTTGGTTTCGTGAATAAATTACTGCAAATTGCTGTGGTTATAGACACACAAGAAACTTTTTGCTTTGGTAATTTTCTGATTAAAGGGCAACTTTACAAGTTGCTTTATGTCAAAGGTTCCCAAACTTTTTCTTAATGGGTACACACTTCCTGATTTACCAGCTGCATGCATACCCTTTATATTTTAACCCTTTGAATGCCAAGTATTATAATGAAAATTAAATCTGCCATTACACAATTTCTCCTGCATACCCCCCAAAGATGTCTTGTGTATTCCCCAGAGGTATGCATGCACATATTACAGTTTGGGAACTGCTGCTTTATGTTTTTACTTTTACTGAAATCAATGGCAATTGTGGGGTGCTCTTAGACATATACATGAGGTTCTTGCCATTTTACAGGGTGAAGTTAAACAGGGAAACAGGGAAGCCTTGAAAGTACCCATGGGTTCATTTTGTAAGGTCTATACTGGGTAGCCATGTTAGTCTGAGACAAGAAGACATACAAAGAACTAGAACTCTTGGTTCCAAAATGATACCTTTTATTAGACCAACTGGGAAATCACAAGAAAATTGTCCTTTTCTGTAAGGTTTCGGGATCCAAGTTCCTTCGTCAGGCTCTGGGAAAAGTACAGGTGGTACAAGGTGGTAAAAACTTCCCATAGGTAGGAAATAAACTTCATTTTTGCACAGAGGGAGCTGAAGATGGAAGGCTGTCCCTCTGGGTCCATGAAAGTGTCTTTGTGAGCTGTGCTGAGTAGCTTGTTGATGTGTAGATTTTATTTTATTTAGATTTGATGTGTAGAAAATTCTACCTGATCTACACATCAAAGACCTTGGATACCGAAAGCTTGCAGAAAAGGATAATTCTTGCTATTTCCCAGTTGGTCTAATAAAAGGTATCATTTTGGAACCAAGAGTTCTAGTTTTTATATGCCGTTTTATAAGGGCTATTCATTCAGAAGGCTGGCAAAGATGGAAGGCTTCAACAGAAAATATTAGTAAAAAGGCATTGGGGTTTGTAACGCTGGCACGAGCAATGTGTTTTAAAAATGCCATTGTTCTTTGTTGACGCAGGAACAGGTGACAAATCCCAACACTGGAAATCCTGAAGTTGTATCTGTTACAGAAGATGAATTGTCAGCAGCTGAACTTTGTTTTCCTTGCAAAAAATTCTTCAGCATACCACAAGCAAAAGTAGACCCTAGTGCAGAGGAAGAAGGTAGGGAATCTGCACATTCCTTACCCCTTCTGATGCTTAGAGCTTATACATTTCTTCTTTCTTGCAAACCCGTACTTACCCATTCATTTGAGGTGAGCCCATTCTGGAAACAAGTGAGAAAAATAGCACTTACTTTATCAGCATATGAGTGGGTGATGACATTTTGTGCCTGGGCAACTGTGTAACATTTATGCAAGACTGGATTATTCTAACAGCTTTATATATAGAACGGACTATTTCCTTCCTTCTCCAGTTATGACACTGCTTTCAGTGTTTTACATGAATCCTTTCATGCCTGGTAATCCTAGCTTTTAGGCAAATACAAATGTAGCAGAATGGGTTGTGTGTGGCAAACTGCATAAATTGGTTACATTGCACAGGATTAATCTTACTTTCAAAGAAATTGAGATTTGAAATCATGTCAGTCTGGATTCAGTTTCACAGCATCTGAGGAAGTAGGTGTATCCTACAAAAGCTCATGCCTTTCTGAACGAGTTAGTTTCTTGAAGAGCGTCACCAAAATGTTAAGGACCAAATGCATGCTGCATTTTCTACAGATGGTTTTCCTTCCTAACTGTAACTAGTAGAGCTCCCTCACTTCCAGCTTCCTAGGCTTTTAATTTTTCTGAC